TTATGTTATGATGAAAAGCGAGCAATCAGGAAATTAAGTACCATTTGATATAAGATTCAGTGATCATTGTATTTACTGCCGTTCAATAAAAAAATATTTTAGGTTATGTGTTAGTCGGATCAAGAGCCACCACATAGTGGAATGACATAAAATAAATAATAAATGTAGATAATAAATTGACCATTGTTACCGTAGTATTTGTGCCAGATCGGGCCCCATGGTAGAGGTACCGTAATACCGTTAGATGCATTCGTCGTGGGAGCCGCACCGAACATCATTGTTCCCGCCAAACAACTGCGCCTACGCACCTTCTATAGAAAATAATTTTACCTTTATAGTTAAACATTATACAATAAAATTAAATGTCCTCTTTGTAAAATTGAGCAGATCAAGAGATGATTACATAACACGTTGCAGCCGATTTTTGTGAGTTTATTTCACTATTAAAAGAATGTAATATTTTTATTAATAAAATACTGCAAAAGACCTAGACTGACCATACGAGAATGACCTGTTCAAAGTCCAAATGGTGTCAAGTGACATCGCTTTATTGCAATGAATATTAAATTGTAAATGTAAGCAATTTCTATACTCGGCTATTTAAACTTTATTACGTAATAATTGATACAAAGATAAAATGAATGTAGATATACTGCTAATGTTTTCTATTCAATAAATAATAATAACGTTGAAAAGAAAGAATATTAAACATTCGCAGCGCCAGTGAAAATGTAATACGCAAAGTGGAAATTGAATTTAAGCATTTGTTTGACCGCAGGAAATAACACCAAAACATCAATAACACTTATCATCAACATTAAAATTCCAATCATTGTTGTAATTATATTTAACTGTTTCATACAAAAACACTCGTTTATTAGGTATGATTTTTTAATTCTTTTGTTTTAGTCGTCGTTTTGAAACGTATTCTATGTTTTCTTATCACATGTGCGGCAAAAAGCAATAATGAAAGTATTGCTTATCACCTGTATGCAGGAACATGCATCAAATGATATGTAAGAATAAATACATAATTTTATAGGTTCTTTGCAAGAATATAACAGTACTACATATAATAAATTAGAAACTAAAACAGAAGGGTATGTCCCAGATAATTTCTAATACCAACTATAGCGTAATAATGTAGATATGATGGTATTTGCAGGGTGCAAACTCCATGCTCCTATAATTTATTGTTTTTGTTAACTTAATAAATACTTACACAGCACTGAAGTAGACTTATTTTAAAATTTATTATTTTTTTGTTCCTATAAATCATTCAATCGATATAATCGGTAAATATCGATTAGTGGAGTTGTCATTTTAAAATATCAAGGACAAATAATAAAACATCACTTTATTGTATTATTCTTAGGTACAGTAAACAAAATGTGTTGATTTAAATAAAAAATAATTTAATATGGAACGAGTGTGTCAATACTGGTCATACTTGTTAATCTCCGCTAATCGAATCGACGACATGCTTTAATAAAAATAAAATGCAACGGTTACTGTTTCAAGGTGTTACGCTGCATTTTCAAATAATTGATCACAGGAATAAACAGCAAGCTTTATACAGGTTTTTTTTTTAAACCTTCAACAAAATTCAATTTCAAATCGATGAAACAACATTTCTATTTTGATTTTAATAAATTGCCTTGACTTTTTCTATGGCAACTTCAGCTTATGTCAGTGTCATTTTTTTGATAAAAGTCACGTCAACTGCAATTGGCAACACTGACATTTAGATACAAGTACGGTCTAAGTGCAATACTTTATTTTTTTGTGTAAAATTCTAAAATGTATACTGTCTCAAAAGGACCTAGCAAGATTGTAGCAAAAACTCGAAGAGGTATTCCGAAAGATAGGATTTTCAAAAAAAATATTGTGTCAGTCAAACATAACCAATTAGCTAATTTACTAAATTTTGGTTCACAGGTCTATCACAAAATTTAGAAAGACTAGACAGCCGCAAAGACCACAACAGAAGATCTTCAGATTCTGACAATGGAGATATTATCAAGTACGTATAAGTTGTGTATGATGCAATATATTCTGGTACAAGATTTCATCACAGCCTTTACATAACCTCATTGTGATCTTATAAGATCCTCGCGGTAAAACACTTGTATATAATATTCTATTAAGTATTCCAAGACGTGTGAATGTAATTAATGTAGTTCATAATATGTTACAGTATGCCCAAACCAGTATTCCATTCCAATGGTAAAAAGACAGTTCATCAGAGAATACAGCAGCATGTTATAACTCCGCAGCATGAAGAAATGATTCGATATATCAGTGAAAGTAAGTAATATTTTAGTTTTTTATATATAGTTTGTCTTTAGAATGTTTCTGGGAAGGAATTAATTCACATAGAATTATAATTAAGTGAATGCAACTTTTTGTTCCTTAATGAGGTAACCATGAGACAAAATTTAAATAAGATGTAGCCTTTTATTTTAATTTTTTTATGCTATATGAATGTATACACATTGTATGGTAAATAGTAGTATCATTAGCTTTGATTAACAAAAAACTTTCTGTTAAGGTTTATGTAACAAGCTGGCTTGTTACTTATCAATGTAATTATATCAAAAACTATGTCCTCCCTCTGTATGCATCATTTCTGTTCATTTCCAAGGGTTAACACCTTAGGCACCATGTGTATCATTTTGTCATACAGTGTCTAGAGTACTGTGTATGTGGGAGGTATGAACTTCATATGAACTATTTCCCAAGCCATGAGTATCTAAATGTCACACAGATAAAAATCTAAGGAAAAAAAGGGGAAAAACATGGGTGAAAAATAATATATGATATATGTAGTTTTAAACACATTTCAACAAAAAAAATATTGTGTTTTTTTTAAAACACTCACTTAGGGTCTGGCGCATAAAGTGTTAAACCTATGATATATTAATATAAAAAGGATTCTAATTAAGATTATTTATTAATAAGTTATTATAATTTGATTTTACTTGAACCCGCAGCATGTGGTCACTTGTCAGTTTATAAATACTTTTTAGGGCACTTGTGACTATGCCAAATGTTTTTCTAAAATATATTTTTTTTATTTTCCAGCCTGGACACAAACAGCGAATGGAGATAGTGAACCATCAACACCTACAAGTACAATAGGTAAATAATAAAACATAATTACTTAAAATGTTAATTAGTTGTGAAACTGGTTTTTACATTTAATTTTTTTTTATTTGAATTCCAAATGACGTAGGAATTTTACCATAGTGCCGTTTAGTGTGAATAAGTTAAATTTCTTTATATCACACTAGCTGTTTCTCTCGACTTTGTCCCCATATAATTTAAAAGAAAACATAGCCTATGTTACACACTGATAAAATAGCTTTTTAATGGTGACAGAATTTTAGAAATTGGTCCATTAGTTGTTGAGTTATTTCAATACAGAAATGCAAATCTATTCTCTTTATTATATTAGTATATACTAATATAACATTTTATATGCAAAAGTTTAAATGGATGATGCTGCTATCTCTAGAATTGCTTAACAGATCTTGCTAAAACTTGACACGGAGGTAGAACATATAGTATAGATAGTCTGTAAAAACACAGACTACTAAGTTTCTTTTTTAAAATTCCACGCAAAGTCGCGGTAATAGCTACTATGATAGTATTTCTTTTAAACATTTCAGAGTTTGTTTAAAATTGGAAATCATTTATCAGTGTTGTGATTGAAATTTATCATAGTCAATACTTGAGAGTTTTTTCTGATAATTTGTAGATTTATCTTAGAATTAATAATAAATGTGATATTTCAAGTTTTTTCATCATCATAAAATATCATACTTCATACTAATATTATAAATGCGAAAATTTAGATGGATGTTTGTTAGAGTTTGTAACTTAAAAGGCTGTACCGATTTCTATGAAATTTGGTATAGATGTAGAAGATAGTCGGAAGAACACAAAGGCTCCTCAATTATGTTTTTTTTTTAATTACACGAGGATGGAGTCGCGGGCGAAATCTAGTTCCTCATATTTCTTACTAGGTATTGCTCGCAATTTTGTCCGCGTGATATTAAAAATTTTATAAGACCCTATATTATATACAAAGTGTCTTTATAATGGTGAAAGATATTTAAATCGACCCAGTCGTTTTTGAGTTATTTAAATAAATACAAAAATACAAATCTGTCCTCTTTATAATGTTACATTTCTTATTACAGGATCAGGTAGTTCATCACCAGCTCCAGAGAACCTTTACTACCAAGACGAAGCACCGAGTGCAGTCCTCAATGATTTTAAACCCTTCGATCTTGAGACATGGTGGGGCAAGAGACTCTTCCAGAACATCACCAGCTCGCTCTGAGATCAGACCATCATACAAATAACGGGAACATGAAATTATACCATAGTAAGTCACAATCAATTGCAGTTTACTAAATTTTATATAAATAAATATATTTTATGATAACAATTTTGCCATAACAATATTAATGCATTTGATATTTACAAAAACTATATTTAAAAGACATTTTAGTATTAGTTGAGTTTTAAGATATAGTGAAAATAAGCAAGTAAACAATATGGCATTCATGTTAAACTTTATAAGGCAAAGAATATGTATATCTTTTCTGTCATATCCATACTCTTCCCGATGATATAAAACATACAATGTTACAAATAAACGCGGTATAAAGTTATACTTAGGAATAAACTTAGTACAAATTTTGCTTATACTCAATTTATTCCTAAATTTAAATTTATACTGCATTTATTTGTAAGGCAGATAGTCTATTACTTAATAATAACATAGCTTTCTAATGGCAAATGAATTTTTGAAATAAATGCAGTTATTACAAATCTTTCCTCTTTATATTAGTATATAGAAAATTTAGTGGCCGGTTTCCAAAATACTTTGTATGTAAAATTATCAACTTTTCTAGACATTTTCAATATGACAAAAAAACTCTGTTATTTATAAATTATTGGAAACAAAGCTTTGTTCTGCTTGAAAAAAAACTCATTTAGAAAATCGTGAATTAATGTTCTATACAATTGGTAAGTAAAAGTTGAACCATTTTTAGTTGAATAGAAAATAAATTAATTTTAATAGATTTAATAGAACTAGAGTTGCCATTTTATTAGCTTTTTCATTTTAAATTTAGTAACCTACAGTTGATTGTGGATCTCAGTAGTTTACAACTTAAAATAAGAATATCCCAAGCTCAATGATTGCCGCAGCTGTGAACCAATATTCTCTAAGATTGAGTTTAAATGTCTTTCTAGTGGAAACGGCGCTTTCTTTAAAGGTCTTTCTAGTGAAAAAGGCCCTTTATATATTAGAATTTTATCACAAAAATAATTTATTAATTGAATGCAATTAAATATGTTTTTTAACCAAAGAATTGGTATGATTTTTTTAAATAATTTCGCCTGTCAAATTTTATACCATAAAGGTCATGTACACGAACTGCTCCGTGTATGTCGGCCCTTGTTTATTGTTATCATGTTTTAATGCAATAGTTAATTTTATATGTTTTATGCTTTGTTGTGATCAAAAATTTATTGTTTTTATCTGTTTTATTGTTATTATTCTGTTATGAAAAAAATATAAATAGCCGCTACATTTTAGATGATATATTTTAGTGCAATATTACATTACATAAATGTATTTCCATGCAATAATGATACAGTAATTATAATGAAAATGTACAAATATTACCTTTTCTGAATTCTATAAAAATGGAATAATATTTTAATGCTTTTAAAAATCAAAGACTAAACCAAAAAATTAAAATATGAACAACGATTTTTCTATGTTTACAAGATTTAGGACATGTCCCACCAAATTGTAAATTATCTGATAAAGATCCAACATGTAAAATATGTGATGAAAATATCGGATTTTGTTCTCTTATCTGACAGTGACGTGTTTTTAGACTCTATCAGCCAGTGGTGGGACAGGCCCTTAAACATTACTTTGGAATGTAGTATTATAAGAAATTTCTTTACTTGTGAATGTCAAATAAAATATAATGCACTTGTTATATAAAATGCAAATTTAAAACAAAGCAATATTAAATATAAGTCTGCCTTATTTACTTTAAAATTACTTATGTATTTGTTAACAGGGATAAAAATTTTCGTTCCTAACAAAGCATGTTGATCAAATCTTTTGCATATTGTTATAACAAATTTTTACAATTGTTATATTTACAATGAATGTTAAATGTTAGCTTTTTACATTATAATTGGATGTTGTAATGAAATTTGATTGTAAACATTTTTTACAAAGCTTCAATGCCTGAATTGTAAACAATGTCTTCCATAATTGTAAATAAATCTTTGGAATATTGGTTTTGGTACTGTGAACCACTGATCTCTATAAATGGATGAATACAAGCAGTATTTGGTGCCTATTTGGTATCCGCCATTTTGGCGCTGACGGTTGCGTGGTGAGGATTGGAACTAATAGATATATAAGTAACTGTCAGTCAAGGGGTGCATTTAAATGAGACAAATCATTTCAAATAACCTGTCCATCTATACAGATCAGTGGCCGTAATACTTGTATTAAGGCGTATGGCTCTTTCATTCTCTTTGAAAAAAGACACGTGTTAGTACAAATGTTAACTGCAGTAGTATTTAACGGTTACATATATCATATTATGATATAAACTCATATGCCTTGGTATAGTCATTTCCAGTATGTAAATCGAAATCACAAAATCAGCTTTAAAATTTGAGAGTATAAAAGATAATTAAGCAAAGACATTAGAAATGCATAGACTAGGCATAGTGAACATTTTTTCACCAGTACTTTCTCTGACATGTACTATATTAGTTGTCAAGTTTAGTGCCACCTTGACTCCTTGTATTGACATGTGATAAAATATTTTAAATTATAAATAGAATCTAAAAATAAAATGCAAACATTTTAATCTTATTTAATGTCACCTATTGGCAATAAATTTAAAATCTAGTGAGACTAAAAAATGTTTTTATGTGTTGTAAATCATGCCTACTCTATATATTTCTTTAAACTCTTTGTATTTAAGGTTGCATATCGCTTGCAGTGCGAGTGTACACGCTGTATTTTATGTAAGGGAATAGGTTTTTAAATCCTTTTAGATGGAAAAATTATGTAGTGGATTAGGAGGAGGTAGAATATTTTTAGACTGATTTAGTTGTTAAATGATATGCTTTTTGTTGTAGTTGAATAAACCATCTGACAATGTTTTTTGTTGTTTTTATTACTCCCTAGTTTTAACGAATCTCTAGTTTAAGGGCCTATCCCACCAATGACTGATAGAGGCTCAGATAGCTTAAAAATTAAGTAACTTAGATAAGAGGACGAAATTCGATATTTCCGTCATATGTTTTACAAGTTGGATTGTTATTAGACAATTTACAATTTGGAAGGACTGGCCCTTAATTATCGTTCTTGAACTCGGTTTATCCAAGTATTATCAGACACTCGTTGGGTTATTTAATAAAACAATGCCTTTAATGTTTATTTAAACCTTTTTTCTATTAATACTTAATTTAACACTGGTAAAGGGTTTATATTAGTCGCCATTAAGTAATTAAAAAAAATAATAATAAAAATTGATATTGACATTGACAAAATAGAATTTATATTTTTTATCAATAAATTAAAATTAAAATGGATAGATATGTTGTTACAAACGACTGCATTCCAGAAATTGTAAAACATTCCAAAATAAATGAAAATTCCGTAAGTAACTTATTGTATTATTCCAAACTGTTTGTATTATAAAAATAAATTAAATCTAACAATCATTAAAATTACTCGGATATTAAAAGAAAGCGTAACTGTCGTTAGACGTTAAATGTTTACTTAAAAATCCCTTAGTGCCAGTTCTCTTTTTTTATCTTCATCCGTCTTGTCAGGCTCAATTTTTCCGACGTAAAAACTTCTTGAACGGTTTACAAAACGCACTCAACATTCTAAACGGGCTTGAGCGATGTCTTCAAAAGACCGGCAAATATGAGAAGAAGTTGATGAAATGCAAGTCGTCTCACTCGCACACACACAATAACGATTGGTGGGAGAGTGAACCGTCAGAGGGCAAGGAAACGAAGGTTTCTAATACCGGTGAGTGTTTTACGAAATTCGAAAAAAGGTAAAAATAAGATCATATTCTTTAGAATGATATAATCTTATTTCTTCTCTTTTTTATAATAAACTGAATTCGCTTTTAAAAGTTAAAAGATAAATTGTCAGTTGACTGTTTTCGGTTACTTTCATGAGACAAAACCACATCGTCAAGAAACCCAGTTGATTTGGCAGAATCGTGGTCTACTATGAGCATTGTGTGCCTTCAATATCAGTAAGTTAACATACTTATGTCAATAGGAAATTTCTCTTAGACCATATTTCCACTAAGCTACTTTTCTATATGCTTGGTGGAAATTTACGTGTTATTTCATTAAGATATGAAGAGTTATCGAAACGCTACGAGGCGTTACTGCGAGCGTACGACGAGCGCTGTGGTGCACTCAACGACCGCGAGAGGGCGGTGGCGCGGTTACAAAGCCGCACGGACAGAATGCGCGCGCAGCTAGTACACGCACACCAAGCTTTGCTCTCCGTTGGAGACAAATATCTCATTTTACGAGGGAAGAAGATGATGCAAGTAAGGAGGAATTTACTCTAAGAAGGACCACATAATCCTTAATGTTAGTGTATTGCTGTTATATAATGCAAAAAAATTATGATTTTTATGAGGAACTAGCAGTAGCTTCCGACTTCGTCCACGTGGAACTTAAATAAAATAATATATAATACAGCCTGGCTCACTCACTAATATTTTTTAATGGTGCAAGAATTTTTGAAATCAGCCTAGTACTTTTTGTGTTATTTCTATAAATACAAAAATATAAATCTTTCCTCTTTATAATATTAGTATAGAAGTTTGTTTGTAATGTTTAGAATATCTTGTAGTTTTTTTTCATAGTCAAAGTTACTTTAAGTATTACCAATGATAGTGATGACCAAATTTTCCTCCATACACGTTCAATATCGTATACTTTTTAATGCGAACCAGAAAAAGTGGTATGAAGAAAGATTAGAAGCTCTGAAGCGTTTACTGCAGGAAATAACATTTGAAGCGGAACGCGCGGAGTTTGAGCTGAACAGTCAAACGCAAGACTCGACGGAGTCTGAAGATGTCGACACATCTTTACTTGTTTCAGAGGTACTTTGCAATTTCTATTCAATTAGTAAGAATAAATTTTTAGTATAGAAGATAGAAGGCAGAAGTCAAATGATTGCTGGCGTAAGACCTAATTTATGCTATCTATTATCTATGCTTGGCTAATTAAATAAAAAAAATAGTAACTTTATTAATTTCCCCTTGGGCAGGGGACTGGTGTCCAAACTAGGATCGCGCATTGTGTGATAGATCACCAAGCTCCTGCCCCACAGACTAATAATGATACATATAAAATAAAAATAAAAAAAAACATTAATTAAATGAATCAAAACATTTTTTTGAAATTAAAGAACAAAAATTAAAATTATATGTGTAGTGTGTAATGTGTGACGTGAGTAGGGGAATAGTGTCTTGATAATTGAAAATAGGCACAATTGTCTCATGAATTATGCGACTTCGTTGGGCCTAATCAGAGGCTATAAAAAAAGACGAGTGGGATTGACTAAGAGGGGATGGCTAGGAAATTATTTACAATATTGCTTGTTTTCAGATTAGTCGCTGTAATTCTCTGTTTTTAGAGAATCTTCGTTTGAAAACAGAATTGGAAGGCGTGTCAACATATAACGATACTTATTAGATTTTATACATAGTTTTTAGAGTATTTAGTTGGTATTCACGTTAAGATTTTATAAGAGGAATATTAATACGTTTCATTTGTTTTATTAAGTTTATTTAAATAAATGTTTAATTTCATTGAATATTATTTTATTTAAAAAAAATTACAGATAGATCACAAGGTGCGCTATTATTCGATTCAATATTTATATTAAATTGTCTTGAATTTGACAAACTCCATACCTTAAACAAAATAATAATAGTGATTATTTAATATTACCAAACTGCTGTTGCGTCTTTCTATATTTGTTAATTTGTTACTAAATAGAGAGATAAAAATGGCATGGGCGTCGTCAGTGGAGGTATGAGAAGGCAACTACCTCCATAAAGAATCGAATATTTCTCTAGACCTAGCCTCGATTATTAGCTGGCAACACCCAAGAAGGGAGGCCATCTTAAGAAGGTGCGTTTGAAAATAAAATATATAAAAAGTGACCAAAACAGTTTATTAAATAGCTTACAATTACGCAAAAACCAAACACATTCAAATCAAATCCCACCTTTTACTGAGAAGCCAAAGCCTGTGAATTGAGACGTTTATTTCATGTATCTATTTCACGTATATCGCATGCATTTGTTTAATCTCATCCACCATGCCGTCAAGTATCAAGGACAGTTGGTCCGAAGTCCGCACTATACTCGCATCAGCCATCGCAGAGAATCGCAAAACTCCTCCGTAGCAAAGCGCTGATATGCCAAGACCTGGTAACACAAAATTATACGTTCTAATAATAATTACGGCTACTCAAAAAATTAGCAGATTTTCAATTAAATAAATAATTTACGCTGATACGAAAGCGATTGCTCTTACGAATAAATCACATTTTTAATTCGACTAACTGTAAATCATGTTCTCTTTGGATTTTATCGTTAAAAAAGAAGTCGATAATCATGCGATTTTTTAAGAATTTATATGCTTTCATATTTGTCTAACGTAGTAACAAAAGAGACACTCTTACTCACCTGTACTTCCTTTATTAGGTATGAAAAATACTAAACTCTTTATGGAGTTTCCACCGCAAATACTTATAGAGTCTGGTCCGGGCATGTTACTGAATACCAACGTGGCTTGGCTACTCTTAAAAATCGGTCGTAGTATCTGCTTCGGTAGGAGGTAACAAACTTTTAGAAAATAATGGTTTACCTGAAAAGCAAAAGTTTTGTTAGATGCTTGAAACTTGGTCTTTATCAAGTAAAGCTTAATCAAACAGTTCTCTCTCAGAATTGTCTTGTATTGAAGCTAAATTGATTTTTCCACAAACATCATCATAGTACCTACTTACATTACCTCGTTATCTTTCCTGCCTTTAAATCCTTCCCATAATATGAATTCTATCATCATTTTTAACAAAAGACATCGTAATGTTGTAGTACTTACGGTGGGATCAACACTTTTACGAACTTTATTGCATCGTCTTCTAATTTCTTTAATTTGCCTCTCCTCTTTGGTTGGTAGATCGAGGATTGTTACTGTAAAATTATTTTTGAACTGCAATTCATTTTGGGAAAAATGTTTTGGTGCTTCCGGCAATCTGATTGGCAATATGACTGCTACATCCTCAGGCATATGATCCATAGTCTATAACGAAAAAGCGATCAAATTTATTATTGATGGTTTAAAATTTGTGTCTATGGAAACGTGCTGTACCTTTGCGAAAAAGTTTCTCAGGCCACTCGACAGTGATGTCGCCAAAATATCAGAGAAATTTAAATCCTTTTTACATTGTTTTATTTCTTTGATCATATGAAATAAATCTTCATCCGGATCTGACCATTTGAATATCTTTGTTCCCAGCAAAGAAGGACCATGAAGAGAATGTTTGTCGGGTTTTCTTAAGATTCCATCAACGAAACATATTGGCATTGCAAACAGCTGTTTTATTTTGTCCAATAAAGTAGTTGATGTATCAGTAGGAATGTAGTTATTGGGCATTAAGAATTTTTCATCATTTTTAACATCGTCTGCTAGTGTTTTGCAAAGAAACTCAATCAGCGCTACTCCATCACCTACAGCGTGATGAATTCTAAATATTATGCTGTAGTAACTAGTCTCTCCTTGTTCTTCTATTCTCTGTTCAGTTACGAGAATTTGAAACAAACCAGTATCGTTAAAAGGTAAAGGAAGATAAGATACTTCTGTCATCGCATCTTCTATATCCTCCTTGGAAATTGTACCTTTCTTATTTCCAATGTTAATAACTTTTACGTATTCATTTAAATCTATTTCGGAATACTCTCTCCAATAATACCAGCCGTATTTCTCATTTCGTCTATAAAATAGCTTCTTACAACTTTTATTGGTAATAGCGATTCTAAGTTTCTGTTTTATTTTTGCGATTAAACTATCTGAATTGTTCGTTTCAATTATACCTAAGACGTTAATAACGCATCTAGAGACATCGTCTTCTAAACTCCAAAAAACATCAAAACCATCGAGAAATGCTGCAAAGTTTACGTCTTTTGCTTTTATAATAAAGTAACATGTCACTTTGTAAAGTAACGATATTAAAGTAAAAGAAATTAAGATCGGCAAAGTTAGAAATAAAAGAATTAAAGCTAAGGCTCTTGGTAGTACTTTATGTTTTGAGAATTTCTGTAATGTCGTTTGAATTTGTAATTCCTGAAACACAAATTTAAAATTTACATTCATATTTAATGAAAATAATCGAAAAAATCAAAGGAAAAATTTTATGGAGTTTCGAAAATTTTTCGAAGTTTTAATAGTGATAGCGCTTGCTATAACATATTTTGCATTACAATACTCTCATTACAATTGTAATCGTATATGTAAAACTAGGAAAATAGGAAACCGCAATACTTACATGACTATAACACCATTCTTACCTCGACATTTATTACTGTGTACACCAAAACCGCAACCAGAACAACGATATGGGCTAAATCTGACGTATTGTCTACAATGCGTGATTTAGCCAACGTTACATTAGAAAGAAAATCAGTCACATTATCTGATAAATCTTCTTTAGTATAACAGTGGTAAAGACATGCACCGACTTTGCTATCATTAGGAAACATTTTGTCTGTCTCACAGACAACCTAAGAACAAACTGAAGGAACAACGCCAAAGTCTCCAAGTTATACCCGCGAAACCTTATTTTTATAATCTTTTCTTATGTTTTAATCTAATTAACCAGATGTTCAAAAGGCCTTGTATAATTACACACAGGATATATTTAGTCGCGTAACGAGTAAGCTAGACAAATGCGCTAATTTGATACCTCTTAAGGTAATTTCCACTTGTAATACTAATACATATTACTAGTTACTTCCCGTGACTTCCTTTGGGTAGGTTAATTACCAGGTATAATATTTAGATGAGAATGCAGTAGAATTCCTAAAGTAACTACATTAACCTTAGTTTAATTACGTGGTTTCCGAATTGTTTATAATAATATGACAAGATGTAGAAACAGACTTAAAGTTATTTTCATCACTATATTTCTTAAATAATAATTTAATTCTTACAACCGTTGATACGATTTTATAACAAACAAATGTCTACATATAACACATATTCCATAACTCCAAAATTCAATCGCAGTCTATTTGATTTGTGTAATCTGCCGTGATGTCAGATTGTGATCCATCGTATGATATACAAATAACGTTTGCTTAAACAGTTATAACTAATCAAACATAAGTTTGGTAGCACTAGCTGGTTTCTCCTCACGCAGTCTTTTCGGTCTTCTGTCGTTTAATGAAGCATAAAACATTGATCCAAATGAAAGAAGCCGAGGCTACATACACGACACGCAAATGTGAAGGTACAAAGAAGAAGTTGATTGTCTGCCCGGGGATCCAGAAGGCTTGGTTGGCGATAAACGTCTTCCAATACTTGACTCTTATCTCTTCAAAGATATCCTCTTTACGTTCCGCTATACCCATCACTGGAAAGGAATGGCAGAATTTGTTAAAACTACAAAGGTCCAAAAGTTATAGTAAAATGAGTAAAGAAGGATTATGCAATTAAGTTTTTTTTAAAGGAGGAATTCGGAATATAACGAAAGAGTAAGTAAAATATAAAAAACCTTACAGATATAAAATGCGGCGAGAAGTACTGGTGTCATAACAAACTGGTCAGTCATCACTTTAGTGGCCACCATCTTTACTGCTGTACCTACGAATTTTTTATCCAGGAATTTATACCTGCAAAAAAATTTAAAGTGTTCCTGGGACATATTTGCACACAGCCAGGCTTGGGCAATATTTCTACGGCGCCCTATAACTGCAATACAAAGCCACACGAAAATGGCACCCTTTTATGCGCTTGGGGCGCCTTGATATCCCGTGCCTGGGCGATCGCTCCACCACGGCCTATCTTAATATCGATACTGTTTTTGCTTAGTGACTGATGTCTTATCCTAGTGAGTACTTATACATTATTTTAGGAGAAAGGAAATATAAGTAGCGCCTATTGTTAATTGATACGAGAATGAGTTGTAGACATAAGTATTTTAGTAATCAAACTTTATGGTGACTCGTGGATACGTAGGTATATCGTGCAGAATTGCGAGCCAGTATAAAGTTTGGATGGCACTGTATTATATTCTCTGTAGTAACGTGTCGTATTCATGATACCAGGATGTACACGACCGAATGAATTGTGACGACGGACGGCCGACGGAGCGCAACATGTGCCCACTTTTATGTAAATCGTTATTGTTTAGCATTAACACAATTGTTGCACGTAAATCAAACTAAAATGGGAGCAAGTTTCACTCGATAAAATACTACATGTAGCTAATGAAATTATAGTTTTCCCTTATAAGCAAATTTAATGTTTTGTCTCCAATCTTGACTGAAAAGTTACTGAATCAGGGTAACCTAATTTACGTAAAATTGTCTAATTCTTGGTTTACATACCAAAAGTAAAGCGTGGGTGCGTATAAACAACTGCCGACTGTAACAATCCGGGCCGCAGCCGAAAAATCCAGCGGTGGCTTTTCTGGCTAAAAAAATAAATGATATTATTTGAAATTATTTATAAGATAAAGATCACTAAAAAAGGTAGTTTCCTAACAAATTTTTTTAGGGAACGCCAAACTTTATAGGTACTTAACGATACCAATTATTAACTTTGTAAACAAAAAAGATAAAGTAAGAAAACTCCGGGACGTTTTCCCGAAATTTCAGCAGCGTTAGTCATGGGTAGCGTGGCCGAGCGGTCTAAGGCGCTGGTTTAAGGCACCAGTCTCTTCGGAGGCGTGGGTTCGAATCCCACCGCTGCCAATAACTTTTTTTTCATTTTTCATGCATATTTTTTTGTTTGTGTTATTTTTATTGGTCAAAGTTATGCAATGATGTAAAATTGTCAATAGCAAAAATGATGCAAGTCATGACCTCGATCAGTCTAAAATAGCTGGAAAAATACAAATTTTAACAAAACATTATTTGATTTGGCTAGATTTAAATTATTGAACCTCACTATAAGTGTATATGTGTAAAGAATAAGGATTTGATTTGAAATATATTGTAGCTATGAATTATTTTCAAACCCATACCGAGTATATCTTATTGAAGGTTTGCTGCGAGAGCTCCGCAGCCGTGTAGAAGGTAGCGTAAGTGATGGTATTGGTGATGACTGGCCGCCGGCTTAGCGAGTGGCGCCACCAGCCCGCCAGTCGCGACATCATGGGCCAATGGATTGTCTCTGATAAAAATACGAAGCATTGTCAACTAGCGATCCCAATGTTTGATTCTTGTCAGAAGGGAGAACATTAAAAACCTTATATCCTGTAATGGATATTCAAGAAACTTCTAGAAGTTAGACATAAGAAATAAACAAACTAATAGCACCCCGGCATGCTAGACTTATGATTAGACTAAAACAAATCGCATATTCTCTCACACTTTTATACTTTTTAAAACGGCAAAACACTAAATCAAAATAAGCTTGTTTAAGATTGCATAGAGAGAATTTAAACCAATACATAATCACCGATGTTACATCCATTGGTCTTAAACTATTTAACAATTCATTAAAAAAACATTACAAAAGATTATACTGTTAAACTTAACTATTTTGTTGAAAACAAACACGTGTAGGAGGTCCGCACCGTACCGTACAACTGTGACCGCGTATCTTTCAATTGACTTCAATAGAATAATTTATAAGGTCGAGTGTCATACGCATACTATACATAATATATCCGGTCGGTGAAAAACCACAGGTTGTAAAAAAAATGAGTAGCTGTTGCTCGCGACTTCGTCCGCGTGGAATTAAAAACATAACCTATGTTACTCGCTGATAACGTAGCTTTTTAAGGGTGAAAGATTTTTTGAAATCGGCCCAGTATTTTTTGACTTATTTCAATATACACAATTAGGCTACGTGAGCAAAGAAAGCAAAAAAGACCCAAAGTTTCGTGGCGCGATTTTGAGCTAAACTATTTAACTACGTCGTAGTCTTTGACTCCAAAAATCAAACAAAAAATTGAGTACCTCCTTCTTTTGGGAAGTCGGTCAAAAATACAAATCTTTCCTCTTTATAATATTTGTGTAGATGACAAACGAATAAACAGCTACCTGATTTTGCTAAAATAGACTATTTTCACTTAATTTGTTAAATTCAAACTTCTTATAGAATATGTAACCATGTTAATAATTAAGCACTTACATATTTTAAGTATTATCCAACACAAAACGACACATAAAGTAAACGGTTCGAGGTAAACTGTATAACAATAAGTTATTGATAAGAAGCACGATTCATATCAACAGTCGGTGCTTCTGATAACGCTGTTAGGAAGCAACGCGTAACGTATTCAATATTCGTTATCTCTATGCACCTGTTATAGGGTTGCCACTCACAATTTACTATAAATCTAATATTTACAAATAACTTTTTTATATGTTAAATCTTATTTAATATTATAAACGCGAAAGTTTAGATGGATGGATGGATGTAAGAACTTGTAGCCTAAACGGCTAAACGGATCCAGATGAAATTTGGCATAGACCTAGAGTATCCTCTATCAGACTATCGTCTGGAAGAAGACATAGGATACTTACTTTTGTTTTTAAATCCACGCGGACTGAGTCGCTGGCGAAAGTTCGTATGTGTATATAGACAAGCATTGTTCAGGACAATGATTATAGCTGAAATAGTGTGTTTTGACAGGTTTGAATTTTAAAAATTAGCAAACTAATATTTCGTAAACCAGTGTTTAATGGCAAAAGTGGCAACCCTATCTGTAACTTTGATGTTTAATGATATTATCGTCAATTTTCTTATGAGAACAAAATTATGTAATATCGTATAGCACTTGAAATACATTTCGAATATAAATACACAATGGGAAGGAAAAATAATATGGGAAAAATTTAAATTTGTCATTAGAGCATCGATTGAGTAATTTTGCATATTTTAGTTAATTATCCTGCAGTGGTAATATTCACGTTTTTCTCCTGTAATACATAGATAATCTAGTAACACTACAGCTTTCTACCTAGGGCATGTCTAACCAAACCGAACTCTACCACCTCTACAAAGCAGCTTTCTCTTTACGTAACCTATCGTTTTCGTTACAAGTAACTTACATCAGTGTGGTCTGCGAAGTTCTAAATGACGAATAAAGTGCTATCTACTTTTATAGCACTTAACGTAATTAGTTAAAAAAACAATAGCCCCGAATGGCTACTCCTAAACCCTAAACAAATCGAGAGCAATATAAAAATGTGAAGGAAAGTTGTACGAAATGGGTCAAGTTAAGATTACAAGAGGTCAAATGGGCGTCGTCAGGGGGTACAAGGGGGAGGCAGCTAGGGCAGTGGTCGGCAAAGTTTGGCTCCAGAACCGTACGTGTCTCTTTAGCTCCTTAAGTACGGCTTTGATTTACTTAAACACCCAAGAAGATGCAAGAACATTTTTCAAAGTAATCATATTTATAAAGTATGGTATTCAGTTTAGTAGTGTATTATTTAGTGCAATATAAGATATGTAACAAGTAAATTTGGCCTCCAATTTCTTTTAATACTTGTAATGGTCATATTTCGCTCTTAGACTAATAAGTTTGCCGACGACCCAGAGAATCAAAATACATGAAATAGTTACGTCCCACCCCTAGAGCTAACCCTGTACATCGTCTGGCGACGCCCATGGCTAGCCACAAACGAATAGAGAAAAATTACCCAGTCAGTTGTACTAAAATGTACAATTTGTATCTCAGAGACTAGATCTCCAAAACTATGAGTCAACGTTGAAATACGCAGACCATGGTCATGACATACAATGTAAAATAGAATAATACAAATCTCCGTTATTGTAATAATGGCCTTTACTGAATACAGAACCCAGAATTTACGAATAATATCATCGAATCTGCTCTTAATAGATATGAAAACTGATTGTAAAGATAACTTCAAAATGTAACCTTGTTTTATATGAGAGAACAAGGTTTATAAGCGTGGGTTACTACAGAAACTCGTAACTACATTTATCTCTTAAATCAATATGATTTTGTACAACTATTTCCTCGGTAAAAACCCACTGTTCGACTAAGTTGTTAACACTGTTTAAAACTTAAGACATCCTGTACAAATATACTTAAAGCAAACTTTAACCTTTGCAACAACGTGATAATTTTTTTATAAATGCTACGATATCGTGGGAGAGCTGCCAAGGTTCAAATGTAGGTTTTTTCTGTATAGTTAAAGATTCTTATACATTTGCTTGAGAGAATTAGTGTGTTCTGTGTTTGCTTTTTGCACGTCTTAGAATTCATTCATTGTCTCTCACTGTTAACAGAATTTTCTTCGTCGTCTTCCAGTGGATTATTTAAGAAATTAGATAAAAAAGGTTATTGTAGCAATTTAGGTTTCAAATATCCCTCGCTCTTTGAGGTTCGTAAAAATCGACCAAACAATTTGATATTACTACATTGAATACAAATACATACACTTTCCTAAGTCGCCTCAATACATTGATTAAAAATTTAAATGCATGCAAAATTGATTATTGACATAAAACGGAACGTATGCTAATCTTACATTTACATTATTTTCACCATTGAACCGTGACAAAAAAAACCTTTACAACACTTGTATATTTAACTGCTAGTTTTAATACAAAATGCGACAATGAAAGTTTAGTATCGAAGACACCTGTGTCTCTACCTGTTATGGGTTCTTTGAATAACATTGACCGAAAACTCCAATATTATGGTTCCCCGTTTGATGACTCTTTGAACACATTAAAATACTAATATTTCTAATGCATTAATCTTAAACGCAGGTTAATTTAATACAGAAAAATAATTAACGAAGCTACTTCAAAATAATTAATTACACGAGAAACGGTATTTAATATGTTTCTGGGAAAATATAAAATGTTTGTAGAAAAACTATCCTCAAGGTAACGTTTAAAAATGTTTAAATTTTAAGTTTTAAATACTATGAAAATGACACATAAAAAAGTTTAAAAGGGGACCTGTTAACCTGTTGCTAGCAAACACCCCAAGCGAACCCCAATTTTGTTACCCAACGACACCGGAACAAATAACAACAAATATAACCTAAGTAGTAAATCTTTGTTTATAAGCTTCATCTTAAATCGAGGTTACAATAAACATAGGTAATTTTAAACAGTTAATTACGACAAATGTTAATTTGTTGTAGAGAATCGTAAAGTTTGAATTGAAATTTTGTAACGTATGGACAGCGGGGCGAGCTGAGGGACGCGGGGCGCTGCGCCGTGGCCGCCCGTGCCAGGTAACAGGAGGTACGGTTCTGCGCACACTACACACAAACGTACGGACAAAATGAAAAAAACCCGCTGTTTTTGAAAATTATGTTGCTATTAATATAATATTTTTATACAATATAGTTAAACACGAGCATGTGAGAGTTAATTGCTGTCAATTGTTTATTTTATTTATTATCTACAATAAGTTAATAATATTAATAACTGAGTTAGCGGAATTTTAAATAATTTTGCTTTATTCTTTTGTGATTCAGTGATTATCTTTATTGTAATTAAATACGAAATGACGTAAAAATGCATTTTTTTAAAATCAAAACAATATGATGGGAAAGTAGAGCATTGTGCGTTCTTGAAGCTTAGCGGTCGTCCTACACGTCACGATGTTTCTCTGTCCCACGTCATAGTTCTATCTCTGTCTAGCAACGCCTTCAGTCTCCACAAAATTGTTGTGCTGCACAGGTGTGTTAAATGTGCGCGGAAAATTCTGTGTCGTAAATAATACCTGTTTTGCTTTAAGACAATATTTAATTAGTTAAAAATAACTAAAATCACATTCTGTTGTGTGTGTGAATAGTATTGAGTGATATAATAAAATCTATTAGTGATTTGGTGCGTTTCGAAACAGTGACAACAAGTTTTCTCGTGGTGTGTGCGGTCCTTGAATTGGAGGCTTTATCTTTGCGACGCTTGTAGCTGTCTTCTTATTCGTGTAGCAAGCAGTTAGTGGCCAAGGTAGACTAGACTATGCATTTTATATCAATTTTTCCTTTACAGATTGTCAAGTTGCATTATTTACATTAAGTTATTTTTATCCTCAAATTGTTAATTATTTAACAAATTACTTACCTACAAACTCATCAATTAATGTTGCTATAAACATAGGCCTCATATAGTGTTACAAGTGTTTTATTATTCATACTACAGAAATTTATTATCTGCTTTGGCATGAATTTTTTATAAATTCCTTGTATCTTAAGATGGATTTGAATGGAAGTTTTTTATATACATTTAATTGTTTATACGTAACTTAACGTATTGCAGAATGAACTTGTAGAATATAAAGAAGACAGCGGACAAGTCTTTCAAATTAATGCTAATTTTTTAAACACGTCCTTTTGCGTGTTAGTATAAATGTTTGGCGGGTCTAGAGATTTAAAAATTTTCCAGCTATAAATTAGATTAACCTAAATCCATATTGAAAAACGATCGATTTCTTTTTAAAAGTTTTGGCGGGAAACTTAGTTATATGGTATTAAACATCTATGCAAAAAACTATAGTTATCTCATTTTTTTAATACAGATAGAGAAGGACGACAATATGTTTTTGTATCTGTACTTTATCAATTTAAACTCATAGTTCTTAAACGTAACTTTTGACAAATTAAGATTAGTTTTAGGGTTTTGGACATCTAGGCAAAGGTATCACTTTTAATTCAGCCACATTTTTTTTATTCGACTCATGAAACGAAGAGAGTTTCATCTCTTAACAGTTAGAGATTTAACTCTTTTACTGCAAATGTAACCATTTCGTACGGATCTAAGAGGAATGCGCCGGCGCTTGTCACTGTCAAACGGGACGGTGCATAACGTGTCGTTAAAGTATTCGTGAGTCATTCCAATAGTGCGACAGTACAGTGATGTCATCCCATTAAGCCTTTGTTTATGTTAACTGGTAAACAGCAATGTTATATCATTCAAATGCAATGAAAGTAATTTGATTTCTTTTATAATCTGGTAGATAAATTATTTAATGTAACTAAAGGTTTCATAATCTATGACAAGGGTTATGTTCTTGTTTGATTGTTATGTAACATTCCTTTGTTATTACCTCATTGCAATATTCTACAAATACTTGAAACATGCTTCCCTTTTAAGTGGTCACAAAAGATGTAAGTTTGGAACCACTTATGATGATTGACATTTATTTCAATGTTTTTTGTCTGCTTTTCAAAGAGTATGTAGGGATTATGTGTAACAATACACGTGGTAATGGAAACTAAAATGAAAGCACACGTAACTATCTCATATTCGGGTGACAATGGCGGATGTCGTTAATGCAAACTCTCTCTAAAACAAAAGAGTAATGGCAATTTATTTTTTAAATTTAATCTACATATTATGGAGAGGAAAGATTTTTTTTCTCGTATTTTTGTAATATTTTGCATTGAAATAACTCAAAATCTACTGGGCCGATTTTAAAAATTCTTTCACCGTTAGAAAGGTTATTTATCTGCGAGTAACTTAGGCTGTATTTTTATATTACTTTTTAATTCACGCGGACATCATACTATCATACTGTCATACTATAAACGCAAAAGTTCAGATGGATGGATGGATGTTTGTTAGAGTTTGTAGCCTAAACGGCTGAAAGGATTCGAGACAGATGTAGGGGATAGTCTTGAAGAACACATTGGCTACTCACTTTTATTAAGTTAAATGACTCATTCCAAGAAACTTAAATGTTAAGCATTTATTTTTAATTAGGGCAAATCCATGAATTTACGCTATAACTAATCTATAATAGATCGTTTAGGTTGCAATTTGCATACTTGTATTCTTACGAAAATCAACGATTGTAAACTTACTGATATTCCAAGTAAGAAAACAATAAACGTACGGCTAACTGAATCTCAGCTCATTGATGAGTTCAACAGTACTCTGTTTATTGAAGCGTGAGACACAACTTCTATATAATTAGCGCAATTGTCTAAAGCAATGATCACACTGACGTAAAGAAAACTGTTCGATTTCATTCAATAATATCGTTCGGTCAACAGTTTTCATCTGTATTATACACTAAAACTGAAGCAAATAGCTACAAAGATTATATTTCAAGCTTGTTAAAATGTTCACAACCTTACGATGCACTTGCTATTAAGATTAAAAACAAAACCACTATAGTCTTTGAATCGTCTAAAAAAAATGTAGACTCTAATCGGATTATAGCTTTAAGAAGATTGGCTATTTTTTCGTACTAATACAAAATTGCACGTGATTCAATCACAAGAAATAACACGTGCATTTAGTTAATACGTTAATAAGATTTAGGCACAAGTTTGAACACGTGGTGCCAACATTTTAACAATAGACAAATCGAAGAATCCTCCATTACCGGTTTACTAGTCGTCCTGAACGTAACTGATCCGACTTTTACTTTATAAATGTAAAAAGTGAGTTTATTTTTATTAAGATTTCAAACTTGAACATTATTGAAGTACTGGTAAGCTATCTATACTAATATTATAAAGAGGACAGATTTGGATTTTTGCATGTATTGAAATAATTCAAAAACTACTGGGCCAATTTCAAAATCTCACCATTACAAAGCTACGTTATCAGTGAGTAACGGAGGGTACGTTTTTTTATTATTTTTAAATGCACGTGGGCGAAGTCGCGAGCAATAGCTTGTTCTTAATATTTTCTTAGTAATTTTGACCATATATGAATTGTTTTTAGGTTTTTTATTTAATAATTAGTATTAAATCTATATTAGGGTAATTAAATTCTGTGAATTAAAACTTTGTCATTTATCGTTAGCACGATGTTTGAAGGTTGTGAGAATTTAATCTATGAATTCAAGAAGCTTCAAAATCGATATTTTTAGTGAGAATTAAAGTAGCGTGGGCGAACTGTGAATGTGTCAAGAAGCCGGCAACGCATCTGCAGTTCCTCTGGTATTGCAGATATCCATGGGCGTCGATGAACATCTTGGTGTTCCCCCTGCTCGTTTGCGCTCCTCTCTTATGAAAAAAATGTGTAGTCATTTAAATGTACTCCTGTTAGCGTTCCGTTCTATTCTAAAATCGGAACCTTGGTACAGCATAACGGTTTGTAATTGAATTAATCGCGCGTAACCGAACGGCTATTGCTACTAACGAAATCCCCGTTGGGTTCCTGAGACTTTCTTAACATTGAAATTGTGAATGACTTAACCTTCGTTTGTAATCTGTAATTCAAAGTGGTAAAGAATTAAAATAAATTTAACTAAATGCCTTAAATTTGAATTTAACCGTTTAGTTTGAATTATCGTCTATACAAGTACACAAGAGGCTACAAGAGAGTTAAGCTCCTCAAATCGCAATTCTGAATTCCCGTTCTACAACAAAAATAACATCTTATTACTTCTGAGTACCTCACTAATATTATAAATTCGACAGATTAGACGAACGGATCTCGATGTTGGTATAGATGCAGAGCATAGTCTGGAAGAACACATAGGCTACATACTTTATTTTTTTATTTCCATATAGACGGAGTCGCCGGCGAACGCTAGTTGGAATATAAATAAACTGTACAAGTGTCGATGGCATTCGTTGGCATCGCATATTGTCTTGCGACGCGGACGTAATGCTAATCCGTGCCACGGTACAATGTCATATTGTTCTTGACTTGATGTTACAATAAAAAAAATTGTGAGAAAATGTAGACACACCTTTACGTATACTGAGATAGTCAAATGCATAGCTTTCGCAACAAATCTTACTTCTTACTTATATTATAAATGTGAAAGTTTAGATGGATGGATGGATGTTTGTTAGAATTTGTAGCCATAACTGCTGAACGGATTTTGGTGAAATTTCGTATAAATGTAGAGGATAGTCTGGAAGAACACATAGGCTACTCGCTATTGTTTTTTTTTTATTTCACGCGGACAGAGTCGCGGGCGAAAGCTAGTAGTATTATAAACGAAGAACTAAATATGTTTTAGGTTAGAAAATCAATAAAATGTCGACATAACCTGTTAACATTCAATTTCGATACGAGATACAAAAAGACAGTCTTATATCTGAATTTTCTCTTCTTATTAGTAAGTTTTATTTCAAACTGTCCCAACATCAATCATCCTCGAATTAGTGAGATCGTCAAATTACGTAGATTCTCGACCTCCACGGAAGCTAATGCCAAGTTCTTAGCCATGCACGAGACAAGAACAAATTGATTATATCACAAGTAATTTACAGTATAGAATGAACCTTCAATATTATAATCGACTCGGTGTTAAACAAAAACGTTAATAACACTTCCATTTGCTAGATGTCTGGAAATTCTATTACGTTGCGAAGATTCTTAGCTCTAAGGTTGCTGAACTATGATTATTACTAAAAGTGGATTATTTCTACGCATACTCTTAATAATCTCAATTATCTTTCGTCTGAATGTGGAGGGGTACACCGGTACATGTAGACTTAGAAAGAGATGGATGGATTGCGTGAAAGGTGACATGATCAAGAAGGGAGTGATGACAGATGACTGATGATAGTGGTTTATAGGACGAAAACCCGGTGCTCCGACCCTACGGGAGTAGGATAAGGGGCAGGGGAGATGATGATGTAATGTAAAAGAATTTTAATTTGTTATTCAAACACCATCTGCTTGTGCGTTTTATTGTAATTTATTCTTACAATAGTTTTTCCCGCGACAGAGTCTGCGCAGATTTCAAATTTCATTTGTTATGTTATGAAACACTTTATTTGACTCGAGACGTAAATGTGAATCAAACGTATCTCATTGGAAAGAAACAATTTTCCGGCATCATATAGTCCATGTGTTCTTTCAAACTGTGATCTACAACTATAGAAAACATACAGACAAATTGAGTACCTCCTTCTTTTGGTAAGTCTGTCAAAATTACATCTAGATTCCGCTATACTGGAGATACGTTGTAACAATCATCCATTCATCCATCTGACCATTCACAGTTATAATATTAGTAAGATTATCTCGATTAGTAC